CCCCCCATTGTTCATCAAGCTTTTGAAAATATATTTTTATTATTTAAAAAAGTGTCAGGGTTTTAGTAACAGTTTTTATGTTGTAATGTGCCAGGAAATTGCACCACTAATTTTCAACAATTGTGGTTGGAAGAGGCTCTAGTGGATGCAAAAAAAGATTTGGAGACCATGGGTTAGCTACCTCTGATCTATAATAAAATAAAGTCAGAATAAACATGTTTTGGTGCACTGCTGTGTGTTATGACACTGAAGATAACATAAGATAGCCTAGAGCTGTGGTTCTTTTTATTATATTTCTGGTCAACAGGTTTCTACATTACCTAGCAAATGAAAGTAATCATTTCTGGCCCAGATTTATTGTAATTCTCCATTCTATAGCAGAAAATTGTGAATTTTCCATGGGTTCACTATGAATTGAAGTAATGTAGTTTTAAAAATGGAATGGAAGAATATATAACCTTAATCTAGGGAATCCAACATGGGCCTAGCATGTGTGCCTCAATGATTTGGTAAGTTCACTGATAATTGGAAATATCGTAATTTACCTTGCAGTAGCGCTATGAATTTCTGCATGTTCTGTAAGAATTCTGTGAATTCTACTAGTAGAAATTTAAAATATAGGGAAGCAGATTCCATCTTGTTTGAACTGAATGGATGAATTGGTTTAAATATATGGTTATATTCCACACATTCATAGAAGACCGATTGTACAATATGTTTCCTTTCAACAACTCTCCTATTAGACTTCAAGTGATGTCTGTAAACTGAAGGAAACTATTTTGCATATGAATTGGCATAACCTAGCTCTGAGCAAGATAACCGTGCAACTTTAGCTAGTCATAGCCCATCTTTAAGTATAGTATAGTTGTAGCAGTTAAAGAGTTTTCACTTACTTTAGTCTGCATATCAGAATACCTTTTAGCTTTTAAAGAGAACTGCTTTGTATGACATGATTTATAGATATATACAGCAGGTCAACCATTTTAGGCTTCAGAATCACTACATTATAGCTACAAAAATCCATATGAAGAAATAACTGAATTTATCAAAAGTTATTTGCATGCATAATCCATTTTTCTCAAAGGGTACCACAGCAAGTAACCAGCTAAAAAGAGAAAGAACCTACCTTGACTGAATTATACTACCGTAATAAATGTGTTTAATAGTATAGTGAGATTCCATGTACTTTACAGCTAGCCCAGCTGGAATTGTTCTGTTGAATAGGCAAAGGCCAAAGTCATTGGTCATGGGATTTGTGAATATCAGGTAATCCAGTCATACACATCTTGTAATATCTTTTTTTTTTCTTGACATGGGGATATTTACAGAGTACCAGATGGCAGCACTTCAGTGTGCATTGTTTGTATCAGCTGGTAAAGCAACAGAGGCTAGTTTCACTGCTGTCTTCTGCTCTAGAGTGACTGATGCAGAGGGTCATACCTGAGCTAGTATCCTTTCCTTTTCAACAAACACTTTTAGCATCTCACACTGTGCCATTTTTGTTGCAACTGTCCTAAATAAATATAAACCAGAAAAGGCCTTTTAATTCTGTTGTGTCAATATACAATATTAAACTTAAAAGTTTGTCCCTGAGCTTACTAATAATAAATTTTACTTTCTACATGGAAATAAGAGTTTGCATGCTCACCTCAACTTCTCAATGAACTGAGAGAATCAGGCAATTCATAAACCGCACCTTGAATTACTAGAGTCATTAGACTGCTATGTTTGAATTAATTCTGTGTGCATTCTGGAATAAGGAGTATATGACAAAATTGAGCTAATTTAAGGTGGGGTTTCTTCAGTGCATTTGCTGCTTTTGTCAATATGAATGCAGTGGACTGTCTAGGTGTGAATCATGGGAGCACAAAAAAGATCATCTGGATGTGGAAAAACATCCAAAATCTTGGCTCAATTCAAGGTTGCTAGAAGCAAATGTGGCAACTGAGAAAAGTTACAGGTTGGTTTGCCAGGTTTCAAACCAACTAATATGAATTTAGAAGTGGTAGCTGACCCACCCAAATATTGTAAAGAACTTTGTGGCATTGTAATGTTTTTGTTTCATTGCTAAAATGCTAACAGTTCTGTACAAACTAACACAGTTCTGCCTATTTCTTCTAGGTAACCTGCCAAATTGAAATGTCCTGCATTCATCTAAACAAAATGCGGCTCTACCTGGCCCATATATAACACCTACCAATGTGTTTTTCCAATTTTCCAACATTTTCTCATGCTCACCAATAACACTTCTCCAGCTAGCAAACTCTCTTGACCAGGTGTCTTGATAGTTGCTACCTGAAAACAGTAAGCAATGGGGCGGGGCGGGGGGGGGAAGAGAATTTGAGTTAGGTGCTAATTAAATATTCAAATATTATCTTTTTAAAATTATATATTCTGTTACAAAGGTCTAGAGGCAAGCACAGCTATGAGAATATTTAGCATTTATATGGCAGTTCAAATAATTGACCACCAAGGACATTATTTATTCTTGTTTTGTAAGCTTCACTTAGATAAATGGGAGTTACATAAAAGCAGCTTAGTATATTGTGCAGGAGCATTGATAGAAAATATTTCTAGCTATTCACAGCTAGAACGCAAGCTCCCACACTTGCTCCTTTCCACATTGTTTGTGTAAAATTGCCCATTGAGAGGCTGCCAAGTTTTCTTCTCTCAGCAATAAAGTGGCTTCAACCGCAACAGATAATTTTGCATAGGTGCCGATTTGCTCATGTCAGAACAAGTCAGCATTCTTGGTACCATGAATCTATATATTCCCACTATGTCCCCTTTTATTTACTTGAAATGAGCAGCTTACGCTGGCACAGTAGGTTTTCTCAGCTCAGAACTTCTTGTCTCTGAGGCCTCGGCTCTCCATATGGTTCTTTGTGAGTAGGGTTGGTTTTAGAGCTCTGGGTGCCACCTTGAAATCTGAAAATAGCATCACTTCCCAACAGAGTCCCTTTACCTTCTACAGTAATAGAAGAGGTAGATGCTTTGTTCCCCGATTCTGAGATCAGTAGGCAGCAGTATTCTGAATCTTGTGCTATAGCATCTTTCACCCAGCTTAAGAGATGCATGCGCCCATTGGACAGCGCATGGGTCCGCTCATTCACACAGTTTGCCATTTTGTGCCCATTTTTTTTCCAAACAAAATGTGCGTCTCTGGGCCCTGTGGAAAAGCAGTCAGTCACAAATAGGACAAGTGCAAACACCAGGTCATTCCAAAGTCTCCCTGGAGCAGGGAGGGCACTCCATAGTGCATTTTTGCATCTTCTAGAGGTCCCTGAAATCTCCCAACCAAAGTGTAGAGACAAACTGGCAAAGAGAAACACAATTTCCCGAAGCTTTGGTGATTAATTTAACATCCAATGGAAATGCCCCTCACCCCCACCTACCTACATGATACCATGATCTCATTGCCCTGCCTTCTGCACTCTTTGCTAGATTTCTTAAAAACAGGTTTAAAAGGTAGAACCAACATTAGTTGTGCAAGTTCTTCAGTGCACAAAACCATTTCATTAGCCAAACTATAACTGGAAAGCCTTTTTTCCCCCCTGGAAACCAATCTATCTCCTTCATAAATTGGCAGGATCCACCATCAAAAGGACAGAATGCAATGGTGCTTCCCCCAACACTTGAATAACACCTTCTTCATTTGAAGCCTTCAGTTTAGCTGTAAGCATTCTCTTTTTTTCTATGGCTTGAGTCCTTCAATTGAGATAATTTAGTAGATGTATATCCCACCTTTAATCCAAGAGCTCAAAATGGCATCCGTACTACTCCCTCCTCCAAGTGTGCCCATCAACAACCTTCCCATGATGTAAATTGAGCTGAGAGATTATAATGGCCTAAGATCACTACCCAATAAGTTTCCATGGCCAAGAGTCAACTTGCACCTGAGCTTCCTTGATTTGGATAAAATCGCCTTAAACACTGCACTGCAAAGATCTCTTGAATGACAACCAGCATGCTATCTCTGCTTGGAGGTTTTAAAATGCACGTGATTTGAAAGTTCTGTTGTCCCCTAACATTTTCTCTAGCAAAGTTGCACAACCAAGGATCCAAAGCCATGTGGCCTCAAGAAACTTTGACTACTGAGCTTGTAATTTTAAATGTGGCAGAAGGGGGGATTATTAAATACATAGAAATAATATTAATGATACTTTCAATTAAGTTAAATGTAAGGGTCTATCCTCCTCCCTCAGTCCCATCTTCTTTTTGGAGTTTGTCTCCTGGCATACCATGTAAAGACTACGTGTGGCCTTTTACCACCAGAAAGACATGCTTCCCTATTCTATAAATTTCTGAGAGAACAGGCAGAAGTTTGTAATCCTCCAAACAACAGGATCACCACATAACATGAATCCATAGAGGTAAGCATACTTTTAGTCTAGCCTTTCTCCAAAGGTGCAAGGATAAAGGGGGAGAACAAAGACATACTGAGGATGTATTAGAATGAGCACAAAGCCCAAAGCTGCCAATGACAGGTTGGAACCTCACAACTGTTCCAAAAACTGCTACCAAAACCATACTTTTAGTATATTTAATTTTATTTATCTTTAGGTTTTTGTCATATTTACTTGTTTTGGTAAATATGAGCCCTCATTTACTAAAAAAAAAAAAACACAGTGGCCCTTGGCGATAAAAAATTACAAATTCTTGTCCAAAATTGTATTTAAGTTGGATAATGAGTCCCTCCCAATTTATGATATGGAGTAATATTAAACTGGTTGTCCTTAGAGTGTGTAATCAAAGGCATTGAGATAATGTTCTTAGCAGAGCATTGAATACCTAGACAAAATACAAACACTGTAATAATAGTGGGATCAAACTGAGATCATTTCCCATTTTGGGAGAGGTTTGCACCTAAACTTGAGAAGCGGAGTGTAAGAAAGGAATTCACATTGGATGCAGGCCATTGCATTGCAATCCCAAACACACTACAATCAAAGGTTATTTTCCCAAACCGTTGGTGCTCTTGGAAGCCATTCAAAAACATTGCATTCCTACAACATCTTTTTCAAACAGGCTACCCCAAAGAAACAAACGTCTTCCGATCCAGCCTGCAGATAACTTCAGCAGCTGACACCCTTCTAGCAGCTTCCCAAACGGTATCACGGGGTGTGACTCAAGAAGTGCTAATCAGGCAACTTTCCACATTTTCCCATGAAGGCTTCAGAGGCAGAGTCCAGGAAACAGGATTTTCCCCTGTTTCAGCACAAACCAACTTTTATTTTCTCAGTGGCAATAATACGCCCTCATTTCATGTCATGGAGGAGTGAATTTTTTTTTTCTTTTGACTTTAGATGAAGTGCTAATAAATACCTAATTTTTGATTACGTAATACACTGCCCCCAACAATGACTATAAACTGAGCACAACTAATGCCTAAAAAAATATTTTGATTCTACCGACACTTTGAACCATTAATTATAGGTGAGAGCTCCAATGACTCCAATTCTCTACTGCAACCTGATGTATTCCGGATACATTAGACTGCAAGTTTCCATTTTTCTAAAACACCATATGCCAGTGTTTCTCAACCTTGGCAATTTTAAGATGGGTGGACTTCAACTCCCAGAATTCCCCAGCTAACCATGGTGGGTGGGGGATTCTGGAAGTTGGAGTTCACCGGACTTTAAGGTGTCAATGTTGGGG